CCTCGTACTTGGGGGGAAGAGGCTCTTCTTTCTAGGTATGTAGTCCCCGTCTCTATGCTATGTATGAGTTGCTATCTGAATTCTTATCAATCTCTCACGTGCGTACTCTAGATATCTTTTAGGTTATTTACATGTGTATGTATGCATATATCTTCTTTCTTCTTCTTCTTCCCTAATTCTTGGTCAATTAATTCTGGCAGGACTAAATTACATTACCGTGGATACGTCCATACATATACCTACATACATACATACATACATACATACGTAGGTCGGTCGGTATTGAATGCTTCACTCGATGTTGGGGAACCGTGGCGGAGCGGGTGGAGGTTGGTGGCAACTCAACAGTGGAAAGAATGATGACACAGACGGGGGGTGAAGGTCAGTTTACTTGGTTTATTTGTTGATGTGGGATAGCTGGCAAGGAAAAGGAAAAGAAGGGAAGGGAAGGGAAGGCAATCGAAGGTAGACTGCCTGATCGGCTTCGCGGGAAATTCTCTTAGGAGTTGACGTATGTCTTTTCTTCTCTTGTGTTCGTTCAGTATTCGCACATGATGGTGTCACTGTCAATCATGACGCGTTGCCTCTCATCAGGTCCTGGAAAGTTTCAATACTACTGTCGAACAGACGAGTAATACTGGCATGCAAAATAGCTACCCTACATTCTCTGTCTTTCAATGCAATCTGACCAAATATGCTCTGGAAAAGAACTGTGATGCAGCTATCGGGTAGGTTTCTTCCCAATGATGCAAACCTGATCAAGCGTATGATAGACCCCATCGTCGACCTCTCTCATCGCCCGCTCCCCGAGACTCTCGACCCTCTCCCTGGTCCAGCCGCCGGTCTCCTTCTTCCGAGCGATCAGATCCTCCAACGAGCCGACGAAACAGGAGAGTATGTTCTTCGTGCCCCTCTCCCTGATCTGCAGGCTCGCGTCCTGTAGCCTGTCCGTGGAGAAGACGTCTTCGTGAACTTCTACAAGGCCTGATTCCCGGAAGACGTCCTGTCTCTTTGCGCTATTGGCGCCGACCCGCTGTCCCTTCTCGCGCATCATGAGGCCGATGACAAGGTCGTCGTCGTCGTCGTCGTCTTTGGCTCGGAAGGGCTCGAGGCCGTCGTACAGATCCTGGCACGCGGCGCGCGAGGTGCCAGGCACGGTGTTGTACAGCGAGAAGTTGCACGAGTCGATCCACTGGAGCCAGCCGCCGGGTTTAAGGAGCGAGACGAGGTTCCCGACCGCGTGGGCGAACTCGCGCCGCGTGGTGGCGCTGCTGACGAAACGGACGGCCACGATGTCGTATGTTCCAAGCTCGGATTCCGGGAAGGGCTGGAGCATGTCCTGCGTCCTGAACGTCACGTTCGCGCTCATGTCATTATCCTCCGGTCGGGGAAAGGCCGAGGGGGTGATGTCGTAGCCGACGAGCTGGCACGTCGGGGGCAGGGAGAGGGTCTTGGCGACGTCGTAGAGCCAGAACCCTGTCCCCGTGCCTATGTCTGCTATCTTGAGAGTGGGTGATGTGGAGGGGATGTTGGGATGGATGAGGAAGCCGAGGATCTTGGTTGTGATGTAGTGTTGTTCGTCTAGTCTGTGCAACAGGTGAGTATGAGCTTCTTCAGCGCGAATTCAAGGGCCTCTCGGTTATCAGATATTCATCGTCTGGAGAGGTATACAAGAGCGTGGCCCGTGGCCTGACCGAGGCCTCCTCCTCCAGCGCATACATAGGTTGTTAGTTGGGATGGGGGAGCCCTGCCATGCGACGACGCCGGGGTCCGAACCGCAGTTTACATATAGTGCATGATGTGCATGGATTGAATTGGTAAGGCATTGGAACCTACCTTTCAGGTATTTCATCTACGCGAGGGAAGCTCTCGAGGTCGCGGCTGTGTAACTCAGGCATTTGGTCTGTGCGGCTGGAAGGACACCGTAGGCAGGGTTGATAAGTAGTAGAAAAGGGACGGGAAGGAACTGACAAGAGATGTATGTTGATGTTCCTTCAGCCCTTCAGCCGCAGTGCCTGTCACTGTCAGGGAGGTCTGCAACCTATGGCGCGGTGTGACTCCAACCAGACCGTCATTGGAAAGAAAGCCCCTCACCTGTAACCAGATCTATCCATCCGAAATTAAGGGGGACCAATATTTGAGGTGCGGAGGACGAAAAGATCGTGAAATGAAATGCGCTCCGACATAGGTACTGGAAAGACCACATAGCAAATCAATCCATTTGGCGTGCCTTCTTGATGACAGCACACTACCCTCCCTGGAAGAAGGCGCTGGGCAAGGGAGGGACATTAAGGGAAGGCACAAATGACCATAAACGCGTGAGTCAGCCGCAGAGCAAAAATGACTGGAGGTAACACAAATATCCCGAGCCCTCGAATCCCAGTCATGGCGGCCTCGAGCTGCACCACGCTTCAGTTATCATTGCCGGTAGAGGTTCCCGAGCGGGCACGCAAAAAATTAGATATTAACCTTCATACTCAGTCAATGAAAGTCAGGGAATGCGTTAACCTGGTAAGTTAGTAGGAATTACAACCGATCATGGTCTCTCATCGAAACTGTGCATCATGAACGAGCTTATATCCCCCCCTCTCTCAGCGCTCTATCAGCCTCTGGCTCCGGGCCACATTCGCGTATTCGAGCTTGAGCCAGGCCATTATTCCGACTCCATAGTCGGGAGGCTGGTGCACCAGGCCATTGGTGAGGAACCGTATGAGGCATTGTCGTATGTGTGGGGCGACACCAGAAAACGGAGGGACATCTGTATTAACGGGACGATTGTCTCCGTGACTGAGAATCTACACGGAGCGTTGACAGCCTTCCGACATAGATCTCCACCGACAAAGCGACGCCGGAGCAGCCTCTACAGTGGCCCGCCAGGTTCCATCGCGGAGCAACCCCAGACAGAGGTGCGGAGGTTATGGGCCGACGCAGTATGTATCAACCAGGTGGACCTGTCGGAGCGCACGTCGCAGGTGGAGCTGATGGCGCGCATCTTTGCCGGGGCGCATCGTGTGCTCGCCTGGCTGGGTTGGGAGGAGGGTGAGGAAGGGCAGCGGCATCATATGACCGCCATCCGCTTCATCCACGACTTCATGGAATCCCCCGAGATGGGCCTGAAAAATGCACGCGTACTGCTTCGCCACCACGAGCATGTGGCCGGGGATGCCGCACTTCTCGCGCACTTGGCTGAGGACGACCGGCAATTGTTTAAAGAACAGGCCCGCAAGTGGGAGGCAATCAAGGCCTTCTTCGAGATCGAATACTTTCACCGCACATGGATTGTACAGGAGCTAGGTCTCGCACGCGAGGCCATCCTGTACACGGCACTGAAGCCCCAGGGCAGGACTGTGGTCACGGGGGTGCCAGACACCATGGAGACAGACCCAAGATCAGACCAAGCCTTGGTGTTGGATCAGGTCGACTGGCGGCTCGTAGGGCAGTTTGTCGCCTTCTTGGACTCGAGAGGCGCCTCTCTGGTTACGCACCTTGCTCTACTGTCGTGGGTTGCGCACCACATCGACATGGTATGGGAGAAGAGGGAAGACGGCACGCCAAACTGCGACTTCCTCACCGCGATGCACTGGACGCGCATACTGGGCGTCACGGACGCGCGAGATCGTGTGTACAGCCTCCTTGGCCACCCTCTGGCCATCATGGACGGTGCTCCGGTGGTGAGGCCCAACTACACTGTCACTCGGGGCATCACGTACACCAAGCTCGCCGTCAAATTCATTCGGAAGACGAGGAATCTCTACGTGGTCAACCTCGTCGATCACGAAATCGACCCGTGTCTCGAGATAAGGGAGTGGGATCCGGCGGACGAAGGCAGGATGCCGAGCTGGGTGCCCGACTGGCACAGCATCAATCGGACCACACCCTTCGACTACCCGATCCCTGCGGCGGAGACAGAGGACCCAGATATACAAGTTGAGGAGACCACAGACGATGCGATCCCAGGAACCCCACTGCCACGGCTATTGGTCTGTGGCTGGGTGGTCGATGAGATCCTAGCCGTCTCGCGACGCATGGAGACGACGGATTTCCCGATCACACACCCAGCCCGGGAACGAACTAAAGTGAATCCCTTCTGGCTCGACCGTATATGGGAACTGGTGGCGCCAACCGCAGCGGACAGCAGCGACGAGCTTCACATCCTGGAAACGCTGTCATTGGCGCTACCGTTTGGTACCAGGCGTGACACCGACCCGATAGGGATAGCAGGAGCACGTCAGACGCTCAGAGAACACCGTCGATCATTTGCTGCTTATGTCCTTGAGTATCACGAGTTATGGCAAAGCGCGTCCGAGATTTCCCAGAGGGCTAATAATCTGCATAGTTATCTCCCACCTCGCTCATTATACGATAGTCTGTCAACAGAGGCACGAGGCGAGATAAAGCGGCGCGCGGAGGGGATTACCAGCGAGAAGTTCGTCGAGTGCATGATCTGGCCCTCAATGTGCCGCGTGGTCTATCGGACAAAGTCGGGTCTGGTGGGGATGGGCTCACGTGTCACGCGAGCAGGCGACATCGTGGCACGGATTAAAGGTTCGTCGGCGATGATGACGCTGCGTCGGGTTGAGACCTCACAATGGAATGGAGAAGAGACTCAGACAGGGGATGTTGAGACCGCTGCTTCCATTATTTGTGCGTTTGTAGGTCCTACCGTACTGCCAGCGCGCGTTAAGAGAAACGTGGTCCGCGGCGGCGAGTTCGGCGAGAAGTCGGCTGGCTTCTGCATTTTTTAACACGTCCTATCACTTTCTTGCACATTGACGCGGTTGCAGTTTTCCCCAGAAACGTAACGTGTTATGTATCTGTTTCCACAATAAATCCAGCAGTACTATTGGCATAATGTGTTCAATTAGCAACATCCAACAACACACGGATGTAGACACCACAACGTGATCAAAATAAAGAAACACCACACAAAGCAAATAAAAATAGAAGAAGACAATAACATCAAACGAAAAATGTCAAAAAAGAAAAAGAGCAAAGAGAAGGGGCTCAGCCGGGATTCGAACCCGGGGCCTCCTGCATTCCCATGTATGATGGAAGGGTTTATTTGTGTTCCGAAGAACCGCCCGAAGCAGGAATCATACCACTAGACCACTGAGCCGATTCGCGAACTCCAAATTGTTGGGATCGGAGATTGCCGGTTGCTTGATGCTGACTCGGGTTCAGACAGGGCTTATGACGATGACTTTCTGGTGTTACAAGTAATTTTTCTTTTCTTTGGGGGGGTTCTGCGCAACGTTGGGAATGGATGAATAGGTTTTGGCACAGTTGCATCAAGTACGTGAAAAGTGATTGGGGTGAGAAGCGTTAACCTGTTGGGTTTTTTTTTCCTGCCACATGCATTTCCCGCTATGTCCTAGGATCACTTGGGAGGGAGTGGCATTTCAATGCTTGTGGCCTGGATGTTGCACGCGCTAATTATATCAAGCGATGCGATGCTGTCTTGTCTCATTTGAGTTGACGATTTTCCGTTGATGATGAAATGGCAGGAAATCTTTGTTAAAAGAACTTTTCGCGACTTGAGGTGATTTGGGACGTTGGATGTCCGGCGTATCTAAACCTATTTCTCCTTTACGGGCTTTGCCAAGTAGACAGACACAGTTTTGAGGCAACGGTGTGCTGGCGACAACAATACATACATAATAGGTACTGAAGTATATCGTATTTGGGAGTGGCAATTCTACGGGTACCGAGATATACTGTATATGTCAAATGGTATTTGTTCGCCAGTATATTGGAAGGGCATTGCCCTAGAATCATCATGGATGCTGTCTAGGCCGCCTTTCAGCACCAGCTTCAACTTCTGAAAACATAGGCACTTTTGAATGGGTTTGTTTACCCGTGTCTACGTATGAAAACCATATATGAGTTACCTTTCCCTCCCTGCTATCTACAAATGCGCCGGCTTTTCCAACTTCTGAGAGTCGAGACCTCCACATGAGCGGCCAATACCCCTTTGATAAAGTGTCGCAGCTGGAATTCCTCAGCAAGACACGATAGTTCTGGGGCAAGATAGCTTTTGGTGTTTTTCCCGGAGCGTGGGTGAATATCCCAAGCGATGTGCCCTATGTCCTTTGATGAGAAGAAAGCTCGCCGGCCTCCAGTACGATCGGGCCCGAGCCAGAACGACCAAGGTGCTCTGGAAACAGACAAGCACGAACTCAGAGAGTTCGTCAGCGCCATTCTCAGCGGTTCAGATTGTGAATAATGCACTCTAAGCTACCTGATTGTTCAGGTGTACCTGAGTGAGAAGACGAGTGTGGCCTGAACAGAGAGCTGCAGTATATGGCACGGCAACTCGGCGTACTCCTTACTCTGCTATCTGACCGATTCCGGTTCTAGCGAGGCTAGAACCTCGATGACTTCGTGGCTGTATTCCGTCCTCTGAAAGGCTTGCTGACTTTGTGGCTGATCTATGAGCAGTTAAGTAGGCACGGAGAATTTCTCCCGAGTGGTTTACACCAATAGGTAGCATATCATGTAAATGACGGTATCCGGCAGGTGAGCTAAACCAAGCAACACCCGGAGCCGCGATTTACCAGGAAATACACACAGACTAGCTGGCTGTGTTGAGTAAGAATCCAAGGTTCTGGAAGATCACTGGCCACCGTAGCATTGACGCGGAATGTATGTCCGAATATTCCGTGTGAGGTAGTGTCGATACTTCACAGAGTCACGGCACATATGACCGAGCACATCAAAGGAATGGGCTTCGGAAGTCGGGAGCCTCTCAAAGATTGTTTCAGAACGAATTTGTCAATTTTGCGCCAACCATGTATGAACCGATCGAAGGAGTCATCATTTCAACGCCTATCTGACGGCCAGTCTAATCCCCCCGCGATCTGTATCACGCGTCGTCGTGCCTTCCTGTTCGGACGCTTAATGGTACCATGTCCAGTAGCAACTGGCCTGCCATGTGGTCGATCGTTGCGGTGTTTTACGACTTTATAAAAGTAATAAACGGATCATAGCTGGTGGTGGTGGAGGAAAAGTCCGTTAAAATACGCCGGCCGAAATCCCATTTGCACAAATTCCCCCATCATCGATTGCTGACCTTCCCCAACAAGACAGACTGAATTTATCGCAGACGTCTGGCCTCTCTCTCGGACTCGAGCAGGCACAGGATATCATCCTCACGGACTGTGTCGGGACCCATAGATGTTAGTATGACAAGAGCTCCGTTTATTCTGTTCTGGGCGAGGACAGAAGAGAAGAATCAGGTCTTCAAAATAAGAGGGAGAGACGTACCGGGTCCCTTGACGTTACGGATGATCGAACGGGTCTGGTCCTCGAGGAACTCGACGCGAACCTGGGTGACACCACCGCGAGAGCCTGGTGATTCAACCTGCTGTCAGCATAATTGTCTTTCCCCCCTTCAAATCTGCATTTCGGACGACGGCGGTGGTGGTGGTGGTGATGGTGGGTTGTTCGTACCGGTACGGCCCAGGACACGGGTGACCTTGACGAGCTTGACGGGTTGCTTATCCATTTTCGCACTTGGGGGTTTTTTGGCGGGGTTGAAGAGGATTATGGACGTTGGGTCGAGGGAGGCGAGGTGATCGGGTTGGTGACAGCAACTGTGGTGGTTTGAAGGAATTGTCGAACACCCCACGATGCGAAATGAGTGGGCCCTTCACGCTCTAGCAAGCGAAAATAATTTTGGTGCGCACGAATTTCGGAGGCGCTATCTTATCCGCCAGCTGTCGCTTTTCCTTAGTCGACCAGTTCGGGCAATCACTGGGCTGCAACGTCTTGTCGGGGATAAGGCTCCCTCAAAACAGTGAGCTGGTTAGCCTAACATCTGGTCCCACCTGCCTCCTCCTCCTTCTCATGCTCTCCCAAGTTCCAACGCGCCTTACCCTGAAGTGAAGGATAGAGAGGGTAATCCTATTGACTTCTTATCTAATCTCCAACATTCAACTATTTATTGGACTACTGAGTTGATCGACCCACCCCCAAGAATCTAAAGGTTGAAGTTATCCAGCAGGCGAAGAAGCTCATCCAACTTCACAACAACGCCAGGTACCCTGCGTTATCACTGGCCAACTCTAGTGCTGTCGCGAGCATGCCATCACCGAGGTATCGCGATAATCTAAGTGGACTATGAACTCTGGTGCTCGACATCCGGCTTGAATAGGCAATTAAGGCCGTAATGAGCACTGAGCCGATCCCTTTCCCGGTATCGGCACTACTCGGTAGTAGACTGCAATAGTCCATCCCAGAGGCTCTCTTGATGAGCCGAACTGTCGTTGATGAACTGCACCGAGCTCTATCTATGACTACTGGACGTTCTTGCGATGACTACTGCTGTATGCTGTATCTAGCTCTAATAATATGAAGAGTGCCCAGACAACAGACTCAGCTCCTTGTGTCGATCACCCCCTCGTTCCGTTATCTTCTCCACACGTTCTCCAATTCGCTGTCGTTGCTATCGAGACGTGCTGTTGACTGCCCCTGAGGGCCAATCATGTCCCCTGTCAATCGATGGTTATCCTTGATGCGGAGATGCAGATAGTATTGCCCCTACAAGCGAGCGAGGCCAGGAGTCGCGAAAGTGATATAAGATGGGTGATTCGCCGCAGCCCCCTTCGCCTGCCTCAGCTATTCTCCCTTCTGCACGTATCTGAGAAATGTCGTCCGAAACGGATACCAAACCACCGAGAACAGCCTCGGCTGAGCCGGGCGATGTTGAGAAGTCGATCGGGACCAATCACGATTCGCATGACGTCGACCATAAGACCAAGCATGTAGTGAACAACGACCCGGATGAGGCCTTGAAGCTCATAGGTGCCCAGTACGCAGACAAACCTCTATCTTTTGTGTTGTCGTCGAAGCTAATGGCTATCCCTCACCAGCGCCGGCGAGACTGTTATACTCAGTCCAGAGGAACAGAATAAGCTGCTGCGGAAGATTGATTTCCACATGATGCCACTCTTATGCATTGTCTACGGTCTTAATTATCTTGACAAGACAACGCTGTCCTATGCCTCTATCATGGGGTTCAAGGTAAGGAGTGATGTCCAAGTCGAAGTGGTAGAGTGACTGACACTATGCCATCTGCAGACTGATCTCCATCTCGGAGGTGAGTGCTATATATGGTCCTGTTCTCGAGCACAGACATGAGAATATGTTCTGACAGGGCGCGTCGTCTAGTATCCGAGTACAACTGGGTCGCCTCGATCTTCTACTTTGGCTACCTGGTGTGGGAATGGCCAACAAACCGACTTCTTCAGATGCTTCCGTTAGCCAAATACTCTGCGTTTAACGTGATACTCTGGGGCTCGATTCTTGCCACTACGGCTGCTGTTAATGTAAGAGAGTCTAAAGGCTTTCTGAGTCCTGTGCTTTGGCTGATGCTGACTCTTGCTCGATAGAACCTGGCCGGGGCACTCGTCGTGCGTTTCTTCCTTGGCGCTGCCGAATCCGCCGTCAGTCCTGGGTTTGTCCTGTTCACGAGTCAATGGTACACCAAACCCGAGCAGGGCACTCGAGTCGCCTGGTGGTTCAGCTTCAACGGATGGGGTCAGATTATCGGCGGGATTGTCGCGTACGGCATCTCCTCTGGCACCGAGCGAAAGTCTCTTGCCATTAAGGGGTGGCAGTTGATCTTCCTCGTCTTCGGCCTGTTTACGGCCCTGATGGGCGTGCTGTTCATCTGGTATATGCCAGACAGTCAGCTCAATGCGCGCTTCTTGACGGAGCACGAGCGCCTGATGGCCGTCGAGCGCATCAGGGAGAACCAGCAAGGTGTCGGAAACAAGCACTTCAAGTGGTATCAGTTCAAAGAGGCTCTGACAGACCCGCTGAACTGGGCCTTTGTAGTCTATGCCTTGTTTGCCAACATTCCGAATGGTAAGAAATGTCACCTTTCCTATCTGCGTGCGTACAAGAGGCTGATGCGTGGTGTTTACTCAGGCGGTATCTCGAATTATTTCTCGCAGCTGATCGTGTCTTTCGGATTTACCCCCAAGCAATCGCTGCTTCTTGGTGCGCCTGGAGGAGCGATCCAGGTCATCACCTTGACCGGATTTGGATATCTCGGGCGGAGGTTCGAGAACCGTATCGTATGTTCCCCAACCGTGATGCAAACAAACTATATCT